ATATGTTAAGTGTATGCTACATCGAGTGTATAAGCAATGCTTGAAACAACAATTGACTTCATAGTTAAATCATGCTTTCCACAAGATTTTGATTTCCAGCAAAAATTATTTATCCAGTCCAAAACTGACCACCACGTGCTGTCATATAGCCCTGAAAGAATTTGATTAAAAACCTCCGGATTCAGCTTATTACTACTGCACTTGCAGCTCTAACAAAATGGAAGAGCTGTATGGAAGTTATTAAAAAGAAGATGAAAAACAATATATGCAATTAACTAAATACACTTGCTATATCAGCTTACCTTAGGAATTTGCTGGGATATAAGATCGGTGGCTGAAGAATGGCAGCTGGGAGAGCTTTATTCAACAACAACAACAACGAAAAAAAACAAGCTGGAATCAGTGCTTTATTCAAGGTAAAGGTAAACTTTTACGTAAGTGTATGCTACTTACTTATTTCATTTTCGATAAGATTGTAAATGGCAGTTCCTGTAAGAGGAGACGCATACCATCTAGAACAAAGGGCAAAGTACAAGCATCAACAATAACTTTGGAAATAAGCAAAAAATCAAACATTGGAGAATAGTGCTTTTAGAATTATATTATTAGTAACTCCAATATTATATTTGGGTTGTGATTTGAAATTTTTATCACATAATTGGGAGTATGCAAGATTTTTAGAAGAAGCTACGAGAGGTTGCCCTGGGGGTGTGAGGGGCTTGCTATTATTGGGTTTTGGGGGGACTTCAAGCGACGTCTTAAGAATTTTCTTTGTCATTTCAAGATTTTCCCTCCCCACCCCCCCTACCACACATTATAAACACAGCCTTACAATGTATTATCTCTTGGCTTTCTCAAGTAGCGTAGTACTCGTTGTCGTTTGTTCTTGTAGAAGGACACTTTGTTTTTGTAATATGTGGCAGCTGTGATGTTTAGCTGGAAATGGAAGATACGAATTGAGTTGTTGATCGATAGCACATCACAATTTAACACGAAAATCAAGCACTTACGCCTCTGTACTTTTCAAATAAGGAAGCCATTTTTGTGCTGTTCAACATGTAACTGGGAAAGCCTATCTTTTGACCCATGCAGTCAGCCTGTAGAGCAGCAAAAGAAAAAGAAAAAAACTTAAACGACCTCTGGGCTAATATCATTCAAGTACAGATAACTTGTTAGATAAATTGAACCCTGGAGCATGCCTCTGGACCAATCTAATTCAGGATGCAGCTGTTTCGTTGACAGATCGATTAAAGCCTGGAACAGATTAAACTCTAAAACAACCTCTGGGCTGATATAAATCAGAGCATAGATAACTCACAGATCCAACCCTGAAACAAACCAAGGACTGTGATTAGATGGAGGAGGCGTCTCTAAACGCTTGACTGGAACAGTGTTGTTTCCGTTCGTGACGTCACGTTCCGGCTCTTCTTTTTTATAGAATGGTGACGAGTTGGAAGACGGATAGATGACAGGTAAAAATGTCAAAATATTCTTAACACAACGATTTTCTGTCTTGATCAGTGGCAATCAACACAAATATTAGTTATTGTATGTTTTACGAGTTATTATACGGATCCAAAATCTAAGTACACAGGGCGAAAGCGGTACTACTTTTTAAAGGTCAGCTAAGATTTCTTTACTTTATTTCACATTTTGACGATGTTATTGTTTTTAAGCATCGCCATACATTTTCTTATAACATGACACTACAGAAACCTAACTTGGACTACCTGTGGTTACATTGATGTTATTTATCAAATTAAATTGGTCTTTACATTACCGACCTACCTTTTGATATAATGCACTTTTAGTTGCACCATCTATCCAGGTTAGCGAGTTGATGTTGTCCTTAAAAGCTTGAACCTCTTCACTCACAATTTGTTTTGCCTTTATGCATAGAATAATCATATAAAAATGTAAGCACTGTTTAAAAGCGGAGCTACCATGGTTTTTACCACAGGTAGCCCGATTTAGATAATGCTAAAAGGCTAACATAAAATCGGGAAATGTCGACTTTTTTTCGAGAAGAATGTTGTAATGTTCGGGATGTCTTTTGGAAGACAGTTTAGAGACACAAGTTGAGATTGTAAATCACCTTTATTCAAGAACAACTGACTGTGTGCTGATCTCAATACGATAGTAATTCAAAGGTCGTGTAATGTTACGAAGCTGGCGTGACAGGGTTACAGCAACGTCACAAATGTAATGTACTTCACAATGAGAACCATTGAAAAATTAACATTAAAATTTACGACCTTACAGCAATTCTTCGTTTGCAACAGACGTCATAGCCGCCATGTTGGAAGAATTTGACAAAAGATTTTTCAATGAATTATTTTGTTATATCTTCCAACATGGCGGACATCCGTTTTGTTATAATGCTGCCTTGGGATTGATTGCAAACCAAGAATACTTAAGCAAGTAAAAACAAATGAAAGAAACTGGCGTTTTGAAGTCATGTTTCCCAAAATATCCAGGTACCAGTTGAAAGAGCAACTTTGGACTAAATTCAACTTTAATGCATGAAGCCTAGTTTTTCTGATAAAAAGCGGCGGTTCCAGGAAGTTTACGAGACAATGGCCGTGAAAACAGATAAACCGTCTGGATTAATACGTTCCACTCACGTGCGTTGAATTTCGAAGATAGTAAAAGGGATCAGCTGAAGGCATAGTCAGCCATTTAGTCTTTATTCTGATACATTTGGGCTAGAACATTGTCCTTTTTTAGTCTACCTGAATTAACATAACTTACCAAGCTTATTCGCTTTGCAAGTTCCGCTTGATGTTCCTGGACATATGCAGCTGTAATTAAATCAGAAAAAGCTCTAAAAGCCGAGTCAATGCACGTTTTCCAACGCTCTCTGTCAGAAGTAGCACCCGTTATTGCTTGCGTGTACCTTCCCAGAGCGTCCCTGAAAGGCTTAGCAAGCCACCAGTTCTCGTACTGTATCACATACCATACCATATAGTTTGCCAGTATCCTAAACCAGAATAAAAAGTAGATGAAGAAGATTGAGGATCCCGGCACAATTTAGGGGAGGACCCACAATTTCATGCGGTTAGATACAAGATTATTAATCTGAAAGTAGTTCAGTAATGTCAGCCAGTCTGAATTTAATGACATTTTAAAACTGAATTTTGGGATTAATAAACGTCAGGGGCCCGCCTGAAAGAATGGGACCACCCTTACTTAATTATAAAATTAGAAGATCGTTTATAACCGACCTCTTTGGCGTGTTCTGTATGATTTTCATCGCATTCTTTAGGTAGGACAACATAGGCAAGGCAATTGGTTCACTTTGAGGAATCGCAGATGGTTCAAACAGTTTATTTAAGTAAACGGTCCAGTTGAACTAAAGTAAAATATAAAACGTGATGTAATGATGAAATGATGAAGAACAATTAATGGTTTTCAACCATTTCCAAGAGAATTAAATAACAAAAGACACGGCTATGTTGGAGGATATAAGTCTTGAATTAAAAGGCTTATTCGGGTGGCAGTAAAACGACGCCCTCACTCCATCGTCAATGTGTAAATTAAGTGATACTAGAACCATAGTATAGCAGCATGTTTAAATGTGCATACATAAAGAATGTATAGACAAATAAAGAATATATAAAGAAAATGATAAAGACAGCTTCGTTTGAATCTTGAGCTGAGGCCGATGCTGCCCGTCACTTAGTGTACATTGACTCTAAGGCCTAGGGCAAACGTCGAACTTTCCATGCACCGAACTCATTAAAAACAATGGATATCAGGTGGTAATGAGGCTGCATTCTTTGATGTAATTCAGTTCGGTGCATGGAAAGTTCGACGTTTGCCCGTTGCCCTTTTTATTTGGAATTCAATAATTTGTTTATTACACATAACGACATGCTTTTTCAAGGTGTTTCACTAATTGGCAAAAGCGGGTTGACAAAAAAAAAAAAAAAAAAAAGTGCCAAGTTTGAACTCTTAAGTTTTGCTCTCTACACTTACATTGCCGTTCTTGCTTTGTGGAATGTTTGCATTAGTTATGACGTAGCAAATCACAAAGTGATTGCGAATTGAAGACTGAGCCATAAATTACCTCAGGCACTTGTTGTTGAAGTTGTTCAAGAGTTTTAGTCTTCGTTTCAAACGGTCGCCATTCTGCTTCAATTAAAGTTAACTAACAAGCAAAGAACATTAGAATTTATATAGAGTGAATTCGACTATAAACTGAATTTAAAGCATTTTGGGCCTGATTTGGCACGAACATAAAGATAAGAAATATTTATAAAACTTCACTCACGTTTGCAAGTTGGGCATCCAAACGAATGATCTCGTCTGCTTTCTTGGCAGTGGTGCTCTCATTACCACCCAACAGAACCAAGATATCAATGATCAGCTGTCTGTATGCTACCACTTGCTAGGAATATATAAAAATATATTATTATATTGTAAAATGAGGAAGAACGTACATGAAAAAATTACTCAATTTTGATTGGCTTAGAGCAATGTTAAAGTGTAAATTCAGTGCAGTTTAAAAAAAGTGTAATTCAGTGCAGGTAAGTGTAATTCAGTGGAGGAAAGTGTAACACAATTTTTTGGAACAGTTAGAAGTTGCCTGTTTTCTCTTTTTGCTTTTATATACGAGCATGTTTCTATGAAGAGAACAGACTGTTGTATTCTTTGGAATCCTTCTACTGGATGTTCATCGTTGATCTACCATCTATATTCAAGTTTATTTATATCATATATATATATATGTCCGATAGATGTCAAAATGTTTGCTATTTGGTGTATCTATATACAGTACATTCATTACAATACAATATAAAGATAGATGTGTACCTTTGATGATAGATTCAGAAAATACTTTTTGCCTAAGGGTGGTTCAGATTGATGTATCTACAGGATCGGAGCAATAAATGAAAACAAATGATTAGACTATTTGTTCACAAATAAAACCGTCTGAATATAATAATAATAATAATAATTGTATATGTAGTCAACAAATAGTTAAAATAAAGTTTACATCATCATTATTGTTATTATTATTATTATTATTGTTAATATTATTATTTCATGATTCATGGCAAGTTTTGAATGTTTTTTAAAAGTTTTTAGACATTTTGTCGGTTCGAAACTCAATAAGTTACTTACATTTAATGCTTTATTTTTTCCGGCTTCTATGATTCCCACCTTAAAAAAAGGCCCTGCACCGTTTTCTTTATGAATAGAGATAAGGGTCTTATTAAAATCCCACGTATTCTCATCCCAGTCTCCAATCATGTCCCAACCACCAAATTCTCTAATACGTTCTCTCAGAGGTTCGTCATCAAGATTTTCAATGGCCGTTAGGTTCATGCACGAGGCGTACAAAACAGATGGCATTTGCTGCACTTCTTTGCTTGCTCCTTTTACTTTTATAACTCCCGATTCTAATTTCGTTTTTTTATATGTCTGTGTTTTCAATTCGGCGATAGTATATATAGAATGATATGCGTAGCCAGTTGGTATAGGATTGTTTGTCGGCCATTTCCCACAAGCGTACTCATAAAAGTCATCGCAAGGGTCCACAGCTAGGTTGATCGAACTATTGATTTGGATGGCTGCCTCAATGCATTCAGTGGTGTTACAAACCCTGTTGGATTGAGTGTTAGTTTTCCTTGTTGTCTTGGCATATCTTGGGGTTCGAATTTTATTCAAACCTTGATCAAGATTACTCCTCATTTCGTCCTGAGTTGATGCTACTCGGATCATGGATATCACCAGTAGGACTGCCAAGAAACGAGGACCATGGATTAACGACCATCGCTGATTTTCTTGTCTCACACCGCTGCCACCATTCACCATTCTTTCCATCACGACTAAACTAATTCTTACTGCTTGTCTGTTATGATACTAGCTCCTGTTCTCTTGAAGATTAAGTGTTACCACAACTGTAGGCTCTTTTCGATCCGGTTTTTGTTTTAAACAAGCTTTCACTTTTTTAAGTGATTTTCTTTAGCAGTAAATCAAACGTGTATCTTACCTGCTCAACAGCTGTTTTTATGTTGGTTTTTTAATTTTATTTTTAAATTCCATTCATTGCTTGTTACTTTTTTTTCGTTGATAAGAATTACCTGCTTCCTCCTTCCAATATAAAATTATTCTTTTTTTGCCTGTGAATCCTTCACTTTTAAATTCTTCAATAACAATGTAAATATAAGCTAATATATTTGTTATAATTTTGACCATTAAGTGACCAATACAAACACATGGCTACGCATGAATCTCTCGTATGCGATTTTATTTTCGTTACCTGTCATATATATTTTTTGCCTTTCCTTCAAAACAGAAAACTATACGATGTTCTTAGACTTGTTTATATCCCAAAGTTTATTAGATCATTTATGTAATCATAGGGCTCACTTATCATTTACATGCATCACGGTCGACCAATAGCGGTAAAACTCCGAATAAACTGAGAAATGAACCAGCTATCGAATTACAAGTAGGATGCTTTCATTATTGGACACTATTAGAAAAAAAAGAAAAACATGGTCGCATGCCAGGTGTGGAAAAAACCCAAAGAAACTTGAAACTTAATCAAAATATTACGAAGATTATTAGATACCTCGACTAACACGAGAATGGAACAGATACCAAAAGTATTGTATACAAAACGTTGTCGGTCAGAAATCTGAAATCTTGACTCTTAGACATGAAATGATGAATTATGAATTTAAATATCAAGTAAAAGGGATAATTATTTTGTCTTTTTTACTAGTTCACAACCAGTTAATATCTTAATGAATGTACCTTTGAACGATTGGCTGCCGTAGCAAATACTCTCAGATTTCAGTTCTCCGACCGACGACGATATAAATCTTCAGCAAGGCAAGCCGAAGCAACGGAAATTCATTTTATACAAGTAGAAGTACAATTAAAGATAACAAAGCCCAAACAATAAACACATATCATGTGAAGAATAAAACCAACACAGGACAACCTACGTGTCAAAGCCAGCAAATGAACATCACATATTATAAGACCAAGATGGTCTTGGATTTCATAGTACAAACATTAACCCTCCATCTATGGACCCGAAATCGACGACATAACCAAATTCAAATAGTATTGTAACTTAAGAAAACTGGAGAGTTTCAATTCAGTGGCATGGTCATTATAGGAAAATAAATGTTTGAAAAGTGGTTTCTCTATCTGAAACGATGGCAGGGCCTTAAACACAAATTGGGCACGTAAATCGCGTCAGCGCGTATGTGCTAATATAAAGAACGATACTATAGCGGATGATAATCGAACAATGAAACTATTCACAGTCAGTGTGAATATTATGATGAATACCCTAAGGAATTGTAATATGCAAATAGAGTATATATAAAGGGAAACTTGGTCCCTCTGGTGCCACTTTATTCAAATTATTGAAAAATTATTAATTGATTGAATTACCGATCCTGCTTGCTCGCCCATTTCTTGGAAAGTCAAGAACAGGTTCCTCTTCGGTTACCGCCAGGAGATGTAAGACAGGCAGTTCTTTCTGTTGCTGATCCGGGGAGAGAAGTTCCTAATGTTGGTCAAAATGAGCCAGGACAGAACGCTCCACAACCTGCTCAAGAGGTGAACAATAGTAATCTTATTCCTCTTGTGACCAAGTTCTGGTCTAGTTAGATTCTTGTTGAAAGGCCATCTTGTTATTTCATTCTTCGGAGTTCAGAAGTTTCAGAACTTGGTGTTTTTCCTATAGTTTAGTTTTATCAATTTGCACTGTTAAAGTTCTGGGGTTCGTTGAGTGCTCAAATGATTGGTTTTCATCTCTGTCGTCTTCTGAAGCGTTTAAATGAAGCGTTTTCAAGCTCTGCGGATTGTTGAGCGTTTTAATGAAGTGTATTCAAGCCCCGTGGTTTGTTGAGCGTTTAAATAAAGTGTTTTCAAGCCCCGTGGTTTGTTGAGCGCTTAAATGAAGTGTTTTCAAAGTTCCGTGGTTTATCGAGCGTTTCAATGATTGAAGTGTTTTCAAGCTGTGGATTGTTTAGCGTTTCAAGGAAGTGGAAAGTGTATTAGAGCTCTGTGGTTTGTTTAGC